GGTTTAATGTGATCTTCTGTAACTTGGGTTGCTGTTGGTTTGATGTGACGAATGGTGTTTCCTTTGTTTTTCAATGGTTTAATTTGGTAAAGATTGTATCTTTTTTTGTCAGAGATATTGCATCTTTATTGAGAATTAGAATATAAGCTTGTGGAGTCGAGCTTGTGGCTGCCTGCTTTTGTATGCCGTCTTACAGTCGTTCGAACCTCAGTTTTGATCTATATATTTACATTTACCGATCAAGAAAAAAAAAAAAGAATATAAGCTTGATCTGAATCATTATTTTTTGGGAGAATATTCATCCTGCTGAGGCTGAAAATTGAAATGATCTGGCCCCTTTCATCTACCGATAATCTCCAACTTTCAAGTTTTGAAGCTTTGTTATTAACCTGTTATACTTCTTTTTTTGTGTTTATTTTATTTTTATTTACTGATTTTTAATTTAATACATTTCCTGTTATACTTGGTTTAATTTTAGTTTAAGTGTCCAAGTAGGTGTGTGGCATGTAGATAACAATTGGTACGGCTATCACGACCTGTTTGCGATAAACTTTTAGTATACTTTTGTTTCTGTATTGTTATTCTTTCTGAATGAATGTGAGTATGTACTTCTACTGAAGACATTCGATAAACGTGGTAAAAAAATCGCTGATGCTAATGTCCATCTATACATCCAATTTAGTGTGGTTGGATCATTTCTGTCAGTAAACCATTTTATGTCTATTTAACAGCTGCCATTGTTTTACCTCCCAATCTGCACATCAAGAAAGTTTTGAACTTGTGGATTGGGTGCTAGTTTTTTGGCATAAATTTGGATCTGTGCATTGCTTGCCAGATAAACACCGTACGCTAATTTTCAGTCCAGTGGCTGTTATAAGTACTCCAAGTCGAGTTGCTTTTCTGTTTCTAGTTTTCCTCTTTCTATTTGGTTTTGATATATAAACATTCCAGCTGTATCGTCAACTCTACACTGATAATTACTTGACACTTTCTATTATATAAGAGCCGATCTTCATAATGAGCTCTAGAAAAGAGTGACTCAACTTCTAGTATGAAGATCCTTCAGTTCTCTTCTTTCGTAACTTGCAAACACTCCCTTAAATTACTCTTTCGTCGATCTTCAGTAGTGTGATGGAAATTTTGTCATTTCTCATTGTTCTCTTCACATAAAGTGACTATTTTTTTTTTTAAAAAAGAAAATAAATTTGTATCTTGATGTTGTACATTTGCTTCCATTAACAAATTGTGATCGTTAACTTTTCAACTTTTGATTTTTACATTCAGACCATGTTACGTGCGAAGCATCTCGGCACACTTTCGCAGTCCGCTCGTAACTTCTTCCTTAGCGGCTCGAGATGCAGTGCAGCTGATGGGAGCAGTTCGTGCACTTGCTCGGACGATGAGACTTGCATTTCCAAACGACCCTTAAGAGCAAGCTTACTTTCAAAATCTCCTGTGGCCGTTAGCCCATTAGCTTCTTCAGTCGGTTTTGTGAAAAAAGAAGCAAATGCCAACAAAACACCCGAAAACAGCCCTTTTCCCCAAGGAGTTGGCCACCCCAGCTTGTCAAAAGAAGCAAATTCCATTAATTATGCACTTGGCGAAGTTGATGCCAAAGAAATTGTACATTCATCATCACCACCTTTAGCCGACCATTTTGTTAAGGCGGGTATGGCAGCAGTTGGGCTTTTGTCCGACTTGGTAAATTATAGGATCCCAATGACTGAAGGGAGCTCGATGCTGGCATCATCACCTAATTCGGTGGTTGAACGTGTGAAGCCGGTTTCTACTGTCAGGTCTGTAAATACGAAAATCTCTAAAAAAGACAATAAAACATATGTAAAACCCTCCTCCCAACAAATTAGAGATAGTAATCGATCTTTTCCGGTGAAAGAGGGGCTGAACGAGCAGACTAATGTATCGGGAAATTTTGTAGAGAATAATGGCGAGGCTCGCGACAGAATAAAGTCCGTTCCTCAAAAGTCGAGAGGTTATTCAGACCGATACATGCCAAACACGCCACAATCAGATGGGAAGTTCACTAGTAACAGGTCAGAAAGTTTTATCAATATCAGAGGAAAACAACCAGTTGTTGAGAATGTTCACCGCATTTTACATCAGTACAAATGGGGGCCTATGACAGAACAGGCTCTGGGAAGGCTCGACTGCTCGCTCGATGCTTACCAAGCGAACCAAGTGCTCAAGCAGCTTCAGGATTACAACGTGGCTCTCGGTTTTTTCCATTGGTTGAAAAGAAAACCGGGCTTCAAGCACGACGGGCACACGTACACGACCATGATCGGCATTCTCGGCCGCGCTCGACAATTCACGGCCATCAACAAATTGCTCAATCAAATGGTCAGTGATGGCTGCCAGCCGAGTACTGTCACCTACAACCGCTTAATTCACAGCTATGGCCGAGCCAATTATTTAAAAGAGGCCATGACTGTTTTCAATCAGATGCAACGGGTCAGGTGTGAGCCTGACCGAGTAACCTACTGCACTCTCATCGACATTCATGCGAAATCGGGCTATCTTGACGTTGCTATCGATTTATATCAAAGAATGCAAGAAGCCGGGCTTTCACCCGACACTTTCACTTACAGCGTGATCATAAACTGTCTCGGTAAAGCAGGCCACCTGGCGGTGGCCCACAAGCTGTTCTACGAGATGGTTGACCGAGGTTGCGTGCCGAACCTCGTGACGTATAATATAATGATTGCTCTTCACGCAAAGGCCCGGAATTACCAGAGCTCCCTACAGTTATACCGTGAGATGCAGAGCGCGGGATTCGAGCCGGATAAGGTTACATACAGTATAGTTATGGAGGTTCTCGGCCACTGTGGCTACCTAGACGAGGCTGAGTTCGTTTTTGCCGAGATGAAGAGGAAGAAGTGGGTTCCGGACGAGCCCGTTTATGGGCTTCTCGTCGATCTGTGGGGAAAAGCTGGCAATGTGGAGAAGGCCTGGGAGTGGTACAGGGCCATGCTCAACGCGGGCCTACGGCCCAACGTGCCCACGTGCAACTCTTTACTAAGTGCCTTCCTTAGAGTCCACCGTTTTCATGATGCATACAATTTGCTCCAGAGCATGATTGGGCTGGGCCTGAGCCCAACTCTCCAAACCTATACCCTCCTCCTCAGCTGCTGCACGGAAGCCCAGACTTCGTTTGACATGGGCTTCTGCTGCCAGCTCATGACTGTCACGGGCCACCCGGCCCACATGTTCCTTCTCTCCATGCCGGCCCACGGGCCCAATGGGCAGAAGGTACGGGCCCATGTCAGCACCTTTCTCGACATGATGCACAGTGAGGACAGGGAGAGCAAGCGTGGCCTTGTGGATGCTGTGATCGACTTTTTCCACAAGACGGGCCTCAAAGAAGAAGCGGGCTTGGTTTGGGAGGTTGCTGCACGGAGAAATGTTTATCCGGATGCCGTTAGGCAGAAGGGCAATTGCTATTGGCTCATAAATCTGCACGTGATGTCGGATGGGACAGCTGTCACGGCACTTTCGAGAACTCTCGCATTTTTCCATAGGGAGCTGCTGGTTTCGGGTATAGGCCCGGCCCGAATCGACATTGTGACGGGCTGGGGCAGGAGGAGTCGGGTCACTGGCTCGTCTCTTGTGAAGGAGGCGGTTCGGGAGCTGCTCGACATGTTCAAGTTCCCGTTTTTCACGGAGAATGGTAACTCGGGTTGTTTTGTCGGGTGTGGGGAGCCGCTCAACAGGTGGCTTTTGCAGCCGTGTGTCGAGCGGATGCATTTGCTGTAGGTCGTTTCTGAACGGGTTTGTTCGGTAATCGGGTTGAGTAGGAGGGACTTTTTGGGCATTGATTGGTTAACAGTGTGGATTAACAAGAAGTCTTGTTATGTGTAGGTAAAATTTGGATCAATGTAATAAATCTTGAATTTTGGTGTGATGGGTTTTTTTTGTTGGGTTCACTTGTGATGTGGTTGTGTGGCATTATATGTATGTTTTGAAATTAAAATGTGAAAAAAATGTGGTACATTCTAAATATAACATAAATAAAAGTATAATTTTGTAACCGTTAGATCGTCATGTAACCGTCAGGGATAATTGATTTAACGGTTACAAATCCCGACGGAATGATTTCATAACAAGACCGTAACATCTCCCGTATAATATTTCATAATATGAGTATACGAAAAAGTATATGACAGAGAAAAATGATTTATGCTTTGGTCCTTCTAGGAACTGTCCTTTGGTATATCAGCTTTGTGATAACTGCCCAAAATTCCCGTAAGTTTGTTTTAAATTTTAAACACAGACAACACTTTGTGATAACTGCCTAAGTTTTTGCCGTAAGAATAGTGTTCCGTACGCGTACAGTACAATGTGATGTACTTGAAAGTATCACGTAACCATGAATATCAACATACATACTCAAATTAGGATTTAAATATCTTTTTTTTTTTTTTTTCTCAATTCTTCTGTAAATAATAAATATCAAATTAAGTTATTTTTTGGTATTATTAGAGTATTCTTCATTCACGTATTCTTAAACAATTATGTAAGTGTTATTAATCTATTGGAATAATTTTAAGTAATTTGATTATATAAGTGTTTATTCGTACGGGCATATATAAGTGTTTATTTGCAACAAATTCTAGATTAAATTTAAATAATTTTACTTAGAAGCTAATTTAATCTTTAATTTAAGTAACAATGTGATAATCGGCCAAACTTTAAAAAATATTGACCACCCAAAGTAATTAAACACTTAAATAAATCAAACATGACAAGCATTAGTAATATTATAATGATTTTTTATTCTTCTCCCTGTTATTTTATTTACCCTTGTATTTTTTTTCTCAATTATCTATTTATGGGGAAATATTACAGTCCGGTTACGGAATCATTCCGCCGGGATTAGTAACCGTTAGATCATTATGTAATTATCGTGGATAGTTGATCCAACGGATACAAATCCCGACGGAATGATTCCGTAACGGGACTATAGAATTTCTCCTATTTATGACAGCCATGAACAAATAAAGGAGAAACCGTACTCCCAAAAATCGGAAACTATAGTAGCAAAATAGGACTCTGCCACGTCCCTAACGGTCTTGAATTTCGAAGAGAATTTTTCCCTTCATTTGCGCCTATGTTTTTACCAATTCTTTTCACAC